TTATATGGTGAATTATTGCTATTCTTGATATTCTTGATGGCCTTGTGTGGTTATTGGTTTGATCTTGTATTTAATTATGTCTATCGCTCGTCCCTAGGGTTTATATCGTGAATCTCATGTTGTGATGTTCTTGGTATTCTTGGATGGGTTTATGCATGCTCGGGCGTTGATTCTAGTCTACGACTTGTCTTTAGGGCTTTTCATATAGATTTCTTGATGTTCTTGAGGTTCCGGATACTCCTGAACCGTTATATGATTGATGTCGAGTCTTGGCATGTTTAGGAATCATGTTAGAATGTAATTGGTATGATTCTTGGTTCAATCTTTGTTAATCGATTCCGTGTTGTTGTTGATATGTGTTGGAATGTGTTTGGGCATGGTTTTGGGTTCCACGAACGAACACCGAACCGAATATTTACCTTCGTACCAGTGGGGAGTAAGTGGGGGGAGCGAACCCCCGCCACTTACCCGCGGCCCTAACTGCCCGATTCCAGCGGGCAGCCGACGGGCAGTCGATTGCCTGTCGGGCACCCGCTGGAAACTTAGCTGTCCACCAGCGGGTGGCCGGCGGGTGGAGGACCACCCGCTGGATGTGGTGGTGTGGTGGGCTGTTTTTCCCCTTTTGTCGTTTCCTCGTGTCCCATTGTACCCCGTTTGATGTTTATGAGTCTCGTATGATGTTTCGAGTATCGTTCTAGGAATTTGTATGTAGCATGTGTTGTTTGTTATTGTACTTTGATTGTTATTGTTGATTGTATGATTGATTGATTGAATGATGATGGCTATTGTGATCATTGCACAATGATGGTTGAGATCGATGATAATTAGATTGTGATTGGTGGAAATGAGTTGTTGGCGAATAGCACAACGAGTGCTCGGTTATCGTGCTAAAGGCACGGACCACCCCTTAGTCTTGCTGGCTAAAGGCTTGGGTCAGGGTATAAACGTCGCGGTGCCATGTCAGAGCTATATGCGCTGACCCCTTGATTATAGTGCTATAGGCCCGGATCATGCGAATGGCATTTTAGTGCTACCATGTTGGTGACTTGTTGGTGGTTTCGGTGTGGGACATGCGTGCTCCGGAGGAATAAGGGAGGCGATATAAGGGTGGCCTGGAGGTACAGGTTGGAACTGATATAAGGATGGAGAGGAGTAAAGGTTGGAACTTCGTATAAGGTTGGAAGATGGATTATGTGCTTTGATGATTACTTGCTAATTGAGTGTCATTGTATCCCGTTGTTGCCTTTAATTGCTATTTATGAGCTTACTTGTCTATTATGCCTTGCAAGCGTAGGATGCATGGTAGTATCTCTATAATATTCAAAATGTTGCCTTATTGATGTTGTCTCGAGTCTTGATCCTGGTTTTAAAGCTAGAGTTGCTCAGGATTACATATATGTATTCTAGTTTCAAAATGATTTCCTTTATTTATATTTATTGTACTTAACGTGTGGGAGTGGGTTACTCAGCATTATTCGCTGACGGTTGCTACGACATGTTTTTCAGGTGATGATCAGTAGCTAAGGAGCGTGCTAGTTGGACTTGTATCCTTAGCTTAGTTAGTACTGGTGCTGATGATGACCTGCGTGCCTTGGCTTGTGTTTTGAACTTATGGATTTTATGTATTGGTTAGTTTAGCCTGTGCACCTAGGTTCTCAAACCTAGGTGTGGCATAGCACCCCGACTCTCACGAATAGTTTATGCTTTGTTTGGATGTTTAACGATAGATTCCGTTATTTATATAAGCTTTTAAATGTTTTAAAAATTAGGGGTGTTACATTTTTGTTCTGAACAAAATGTCTTGGCTTTTAAGGAAAAATCTTCCTTGGGATGTGTTCCTAGGACTCTCTTTGCCTTGGACACATTCACGTAAGATTTTTAAGGTTTCAAATTGTTGGCTTAGAAAATATCTTGAGCAGTCCTTTTTCGAATGGTTAACTAGGTTAACATTTCGAATCATTGACCCGTACAACCTCTCGGATACGAATGGTTGACCTTACCATTCGGTCCACCTTTACTTCGAAAGGCAGGTCCTTCCATCATTTGACCTTTGCAACCTTTCAGTTATGAATGGTTGACCTTACCATTTGTTTTTCTACTCTTCAAATCTTTAGTCTTCAGTCTTCAAGTCTTCATCTCGAGCTATTCGAAAGGTAACCATTCGAGTTACTATTCGAACTTTTTGTTGAGAATTTCTGAAACGTAACCTTTTGAGATATCATTTGAATTGTTTTGATTACTTCTCGAGGTACTATTCGGACTATTCGAACTTTGAGAAGAAATAATCCTAAATCTAGAATATAAAAGAAATGGGGACTAAAATTCTTAACTTTTGGTATCATCAAACCTAAATAAAAAATGTTCCTAACAAGATCCAACTGAAAGTTCTTCTATTCGTCCTTACAAGATGTGAGGGGTTTTAGATTTTTAGGGGCGTCTATAACCAATTAAAGATTTGGAATTGATGTATATGTAAATTTGTGTAATAGGTGTATAAGAGATTGTTTAATCTCTTTGATAAGTGCATAAATGCCTTTGATTGTGGAGAGTTTTTAGGGTATTAATTGTGTGTATTTGATGAATATAATGCTTCAAAGTTCTTAAAGTGTAAAAGAAGGGATAATTGTTAGTGCACTTGTCATTTTTAGGAAATTGGAGCTTAATGAATGGAAATTTTTTCTTTTCTAAGTTGAAATAGGAGAACAAATCGAAAGACGTTTCCATGACCAATTACACGTTCGTGCACATCTCGTGGAAGAGGTGGAAAGTTGCACTCCAGATTACACACTCGTGCATAGGCTTGTGGAGAAATAGGCAGAAAGTTATACTCTAGCTTACACACTCGTGTAGAGGTTCACGCTGGGATAGGCAGAAAGTTGCACAAGGGTAGGCACGCTCGTGCACACTTTGTACAAATAGAGCCACGACCATGCCATGAGCGTATAAGGAGCTAAACACCTAAGTTGATACATGCACGAAGTGCGCCACACGCATGCAAGCAAGAGTACAGGCGTTGGAAGTTTAGAGTATAAATAGCTTTGTTAGATGAGTTTAAGGCATCTTTTGTCATTTTTTTCTTGCTTACACACACCTGGCCACTTGAACCTCTTGTACTTCACTTGGAGAGGGGGAACTCTAGGGTTTAAACAACTTAACAACTTGCTTTGATCTTGGAGAACTCTTCCTACATTGTGGAGCGTTGATTGTTGGACTCCAATAAAGTTAAACTAAATTTATTTCCTGCAATTTCTTTCCATTTCCTTACAATTCATTCTTGCAATTATTCCACCATGATGTGTGTGCTAAATAGATCCATGAGTAGTTAGGTACTTCATAGAATTGGATTATTTTACCTTGCAGAAAGCATGAATAATCTATAACTGTAATTAGGAAGTTAAAATTGTGTCTTTATGGATAAGTATTCTTGTTGGAAGTGGATATTGACTTCACTCTTATGCATTTAACGCACGCTTTGTGCAAGGGAATTTTGGAAGAGTGTGGTTGCCAAGGAATTGGGACCATGCTATAGCCTTTCCACTTGCAATTCCCACCTTACATCGGAAGACGGAGCTCGAAAGAAGATGTGGACAAGGTGTTTGATGAAATAACTCGGGTGGTTAAAGTTGCTACAAAAGTAGAATTCGAACCATTTGATAGGCCGATGACTGGAATGGCTTTGACAATGGACAAAATGTCATCCAAGAATCACGATTCAAGCACTTCTCAACTTCCACCGAAGACTCTTCATAGCCTTTGAGCAAGCTAAGCGAAGCTAATCCAATACCCTCCATTTCTTTATTCTTACTACATGCTTACTTTGAATTGAGATTTGCCTACTTCAATGCATTGACTTCTTTTACATTTGGTATTTGCTACTTGATGACTTTTCCCATAGTGCTTAGACCTAGCTTCATGATGTTTTTCCACATTTGTGCTTAACCACAAGCTATTCACTCCTACGTGGCCTCCTTTGAAAATGACATCCCGATGAAGTCCACCTTTCTCACCTTTCTTTCCATCCCATGCATACTACGATTTGTCAAAATGGCGTCATTGCCGGGGATGACAAAAGGTGTTGGTTAGTGTGCCATCTTGGTTAACATGAGGTTGTGAAGTGACTAAGGAAACTAGGTTGCTTCTTTACTTTGCTTGCACTTTTTCATTCTTGCATTTACTTTTATTGTTCGTTTACTTTGCTAGTTTGCAATTTACTTGTAATCATCTATTGCTTACAAGCAACTACTTCTAGTTGTAACTCATTGTCTTGCTTTGCTTTTGTAGGTTTGATCTACAAGGATGTATTTAAGGTATCAATGTGACTGTGATGATGCACCTTCTTATGAGTATTACTCACCTCACAAAGAGGAATTTCGTAGACCACCTTGACGCTACCAGCAAGGAAAGCATCCTTACAACTCTTACTCCACACACTACCATTCTTCACCACATTTCAATATGACAATGAGTATCCAAGCTACCCACCTTGTTCACATTCACCTCACCAACTAGAGAGAGTATACTCTACCCAATCACATGCCCTAAGATACCATCACCCTTATCCTTATGAGCATCCAAATGACCATACATGCCCACAAGATTGGAAGGAAAATTGTGAATGGAAACCGTCAAGCCCAAGGTGGAATTTCGAAGAACAAGACATTCAAGAATTTTATGGAGACACTAGAAAGGAGAGGTAAGCCAACACACACCTTATAGACCACCCCATGTGGTTAGAAGGGAGAGCCAAGGTAGAGAAGATGATAGACCAATAGAGACATTCGAGGAGAGAGCCTTGAAATTCATCTAAGATCTTAAACATGACTTGGTAAGCTTTAGACAAGAGTGGAAAAATGACCTTCCTAAGGAGATTGTCACATTGAGAAGTGAAGCATAAGCATATGTCAAGGACTTAGAAGAAATAATTGCAAAAACAAAAAATGAAGTTATGGAGAAATCGCAAGAAAGGCCAGGGCTCAAGTCATCACTTTGAGAAGTAGACAATGGTGATGTGTACAATTCCAAGGGATGCATATGACCCATCCAAGAAGGATGAGAAGAAGAAGGAAGAGCTAGAGGAGAAAGAGAACTCAAAGAACGATGAGCCAAGGAGAGATGAGGCATCACCGGGCATGGAAACCCAAAAGTCCAAGGGAAAGGAATTGGTGAAGACCAATGTACCCGTTTACAAGCTTCTGATTCCATTTACTCAACGACTTAGGAAAGACGTAGATCATACACAATATGGTAAATTCCTTCAATTTCTTAAACAACTCCATATTGATATGCCTTTTGTTGATGCTTTAGGTGAGATGCTGAGGTATGCCAAATTCTTGAAGGAGTTTCTTTCAAACAAGATAAAGTTGGAGGAGTCTGCAACCGTTGTGCTAGGAGCGGAGTGTTCGACCATTGTGCTTAATTATAGTGATGCCTAGGAAACCCAAGGATCTGGGAAGTTTTATTATCCTATGCAACATACGTGATACTAAGTATAATAAAGCATTAGCCGATTTGGGTACTAGCATAAATTTGATGACATATGCCCTTTTCAAAAAGTTAGATTTGGGCACCCTCAAGTCCACATGGATTTGCATCCAATTGGTCGATAGGTCAACCAAGTACCCTCATGGTATTGTGGAGGATGTCTTGGTGAGGGTAGACAAGTCCATCTTTTCGGTCGAGTTTGTCATTCTTGACATGGATCCTGATGTGGAGGTGCCACTTATCTTGGGGAAGCCATTCTTGGCCACCACCCGGGCCCTCATTGACGTTGGGGAGGGTAAATTGGTGATTTGTGTTGGTGACAAATCTACTAGTTTCAACGTGTCAAAATTGACAAAATACCCCATAGAATGGGATAATAAGTGCTATTATATACAAGGGTTTTTGGGTTTGATTGAACGAATTTAGATTATTTAGGGAGTTAATTATATTTTTAAAATTTGATGATTTAATTAAATTTTCATGCATAGTTCAGTAGCTCTGATTCCATCTTTATTGTTAAAAAACATCTTTGTTAGCAATAACGCACACAAAACTAGGCATATACAACTCCTACAAAAGAGTTTTTTTGTACTTCTACAATCATTATTGCGTAGACCGTGGCCCACGATCCAAAAATATATAAAGTACATTATTCTAACTCATAAAATACATTATTGTAATACATAAACTACATTATTTTAACTCATAAAATACATTATCTTACCCTAGAAATTTCATTATTCTATCATATAAAATACATTATACATTATTATAACACATAAAGCACATTATTCTAACTTATAAAATATATATATATGATCTTACTTTAGAAATTTCATTATTCTAACACATAAAGTACATTATTTTAACTCATAAAGTACATTATTTTAACTCATAAAATACATTATATTACACCAAAAAGGTTCATTATTCTAACACACACGCATAGCAAAAAAAATAATAATAATAACATCAAAATAACGTCGTTTTGATATATTAAATAAATAAAAAAAAATCCCATCTCGGCCTTGCTTTGCGTGTGGATAGTGATCCACAAAATAATTTGCGGCAATTTATATCCTGCACCAGGGCGCGCATTGCATTGTGCGCCCTGATTCAAAACGACGTTGTTTCAGATTTTTTTTTTTTTTTTTTGCTACCCTGTGTTGGCGGTTAGTTTTCTTTAAAAAAAAAAAAATCTCAGGGTAAAATATACACATAATTGTATACATGAATGTCCATAATTGTATAACAAAATATACATACTTTTTTTTTTTTAAAGATAATACATATAATCTAACATAATACATAATATATATAAACTTTTAACATAATAAACATCAACTCTTAACATAATACACATAAATTTTCTGTTTCGGATGTACATAATTGTATAAAAAAGATGTACATAATTGTATAAACAAATACGCATAATTGTATAAACAAATACATATGATTTATAAACAAATACACATAATCGCGTCAACTCCCTACATAACTTACTAAAATAACGTCGTTTTGAGAGATACGGGACGTACAGTGCTACGCGCGCCGTGGTGCAGGGTATAACGATTGATAATTTGCCGTAATTCTGAAACCTTGCCTCCCTTGCATCTCGGCCTGCCTTGTGACTTTATTTATATATTTTTATTAATAAAATATTGTTTATACGACACATAGTTTTTATTTTTAATTTTGCCCAAGTGACAAACTGACGAAGTTGGCGTCGCATTTTATTTAAATGGAGTTCAGTAACAGAGGAGAGAATGCCTAAAGAAAAATATGGAGTTGGAATTTGCTGGGAGGTTTCTTGTTTGGATTATCAGCATTCTATTACCAGCTGTGCTCCTCCACCTCCACCTCCGCCGCCGCAAAACGATCTCCAGCCAGCGGCTGCCACCCGGGCCACGGGGATGGCCGGTGTTCGGTAACATGTTCGAGCTGGGTGAGATGCCACACAAGACTCTGATGGACCTAAAACGTCAGTATGGCTCGGTGGTTTGGTTCAGGCTGGGCTCGACTAAAACCGTGGTGGTGCTCACGGCCAAGGCGGCGGCGGAGCTGTTCAAGAACCACGATTTCGTCTTCGCGAACCGGACCATCACGGAGGTGATGACGGCTCAGAATTACGAGAAGGGGTCGCTAGTGCTGGCTCCCTACGGCACATACTGGCGGGTGATGAAGCGAATCATGACCGTCGAGATGCTGGTCACAAAACGGATCAACGAGACGATCTCCGCCCGACGAAAATGCGCCGACGTCCTACTGACCTGGATCGAGAACGAGACGACAGCAGGCGGATCCTCCGTCGCCGTCGCGAGATTCGTGTTCCTGTCGCTGTTCAACATGCTGGGAAATCTATTGCTGTCCCGAGATCTGGTGGATCCGGAATCGCGAATGGGGTCGGAGTTTTTCACTGCGATGATGGGGCTGATGGAGTGGGGCGGCCACCCCAACATCGTCGACGTGTTTCCATGTCTGCGGTGGCTTGATCCTCAAGGTCTCAAAAGGAAAATGAACCGCGACCTGGGAAACACGTACGAGATTGTGTCGGGGTTTCTGAAAGAGAGAATGAAGCAAAGGGAAGAGGGAGCAGAAGGCAGAAAGAAAGATTTTCTTGAAGTTCTGTTGAACTTTGAAGGCAACGGAAAAGAGGAACCCCAAAGACTTTCTGAGCATCAACTCATCATCATTATCATGGTACGTTTCGATTTGACTCTGCTTTTATTTATTTATTTTTTTTATATTTAATAATATTTTTAATATAGTTTATATATATATATACACTAAACTTAATATTATTAAAAATAGAATTATAAATCATTTAAGTTAATTCTTGTAAACTGAATTAGAATTATAAAATAGGACAGAATGAGTAATAAATAATTAATTAATTTATCCTTCAAAAAAAAATTAATTAATTTATAATAATAATAATAATAATAATAATAGAGAGCTAGATTTTGGTTGTTGAACGATGACCAAAAATTAGGGATAGCAGTCAGAGTACCGCCCTCTATATAGGGGGATGAGCTCTATCCAAAATTTAATGTTTTGGTAATTAAGTGCTCCGTATAATTTTATTTTTTGGAAGGGACGGATAACGTTGAATTTTTAATGCTACTCTAACTCTCTAAGCAAGGATGATCAAATCTAATAAGGCCAAGATTTTGACAAAAAATTAAAATAAATGATACAATGGGTTGAACTTAAAAGAGTAGGACTAATCATATGTTGTTATATTCTATTTGAAATTCTAGAACAATTTTCTTCTATCTTATCATTTAACTCGTGAAAAAAAATACCCAACCAATTTTAATTAAAAATATAATGACTAGAAAATATACACAATTAGTAAGTTTAAAAAATCGTGTCATGTTTTTAGGGTTAGGTAGTGATTGCATTAGTTAATATTGTACGACTGTTTCAAAATTATAATGAAATTATTACATTTGAAATGTAAAACACAATAACATATTCTAGTAATCCAATTATTGTTTCAAGTCATCATCTTACTAGCTTTTGACACCTTATGCACAGGAGATCTTCTTGGCTGGTTCGGAAACCACAAGTAGCAGTATCGAGTGGGCAATGACCGAGCTACTGTTGAAACCTGAAACAATGGCTAAGGCTAAAGCCGAGTTAGCTCAAGTGGTCGCACCGAATCGAAAATTTGAGGAAAGCGACATAGAGAACTGCAAATATTTACAAGCTGTCATCAAAGAAACACTGCGGCTACATCCTCCAATACCATTCTTGGTTCCTAGGAAAGCAATTCACGACACAGAGTTCATGGGATACCACATCCCCCAAAACACGCAACTTTTCATTAACGTTTGGGCAATCGGGAGAGACCCAGAGTGCTGGGAAGACCCTTTAAGTTTTCAACCAGAGAGATTTCTTAGCTCGAAAATTGAGTATAAGGGCCAGCATTTTGAGTTGATACCATTTGGTGCAGGAAGAAGAATTTGTGCTGGAATTCCTCTGGCACACAGGATGTTGCACCTTGTGTTAGGGTCATTATTGCATGCGTTTGACTGGGGAATTGACCGTGATTTTGGTGATGATATTAGCGACACTAGGGAAAGGATGGGAGTCACCGTGAGAAAACTCAAACCATTGAGAGCAGTGGCAAGGAAAAGTGTACGGAATTGAAATTTTATGTAAATCAATTAGTAGTTTAATTTTCATGTACTATAAATATCGGTTTTGAAGTTGATCTTATGAGAGCAATAATTTTGGGAATGATTTTATTTTTAATCAATTTATGATTCATGATGATGTAAAGTATATGATGAAAAGATTTTTTATAAGAATGCAAAGAGTATCAGTCATGATAGAAATGGTAAATTGTAATAATATAGGAAGGGGAGAATGAATTCTAGTGTGCCTAGAATAAAGAGTCCTAATATGCCACTCAAACTTAAGGTTTTCTATAGAGAACATTGAGCTTGTCCCATAGATAATTTAGTCTTGCTATGGTTAGTGACTTGGTGAAGATGCTTGCCAATTGGTCTTTTTGTAGAGATGTAGTTTCCTTGTAGATCCTTTGATGCTACTTTGTCACGAACAAAATAAAAGAATTTTGACAGAACAAATTTTCGCTTGCATGATCGGCTACAACAGAACACCTATCCCGAGCGCAGCTACAACGGAGCACTCATCCAGAGCGCAACTACAACGGAACACTCATCCAGAGCGCAACTACCACTACAAGAAAAATCATGAATTGCGATGGAAACATCGCGATGAAATGTAATCCGTTGTTGATTCGTGACGGTTTTTGCTACGGAACGTGTTTCGTCACAATTTTGCGTCGAAAATGGTGACGGAATTCAATTCCGTAGCGATTTTTGGCGCAAAGTGAGAAAAAAACCAGGGAAATTTTGGCGCCAACATTTTGATGACGGATTTTGCGACGGAATTAAGTTCTGTCACCACAACGGCGACGGAAAAAACAAAGACTGATGGTTCCATCGCGGTTTTGCGACAAAATCAGCGATGATAATAAATTCCGTTGCGATATTTTTGGCGAAGTAGTAAATATTCTCACGTAATCTATGCACCAATGAATTGACGACAGAAGCTGACGACGGAAATTGCGACAGGCATTTTTTCTGTCGCAAAAATAATTAAATTTTGTAGTAAAGTTTATTTTTGCTACAGAAAGGGACGATAGAATTATTTCCGTCGCCAATATGTTGACACATTGGCGAATAAAATACGACACCCTACATGTTTGTCGCACTATGGCGATGGAATCGACAACAAAAATTAATTTTGTTGCAATGTTTGGCTGAAAGATAGATTTGACGTTTAATTTGAGGTTGGCGAAAGAACTTGCGACAATCGTTCTTTTCGTCACAAAGATATTTAATTTTTTAAGCCAAAGTTTATTTTTGCTATAGAATGAGATGGACGAAATCGATTCAGTCGCGAATATGTTAATACACTGGCGATAGAAAATCTGACACCCCACATGTGTGGCGCGCTATGGCGATGTAATCAGCAACGAAAATTAATTTTGTTGCGATGTTTGACACAAAGATAGATTTGACGTTTGAGGTTGGCGACATAACTTGCGACGATCGTTCTTTCCGTCACTAAAATATTCATTTTTAAGTAAAGTTTATTTTTCCTACAGAATGAGACGACAGAATCGATTCCGTCGCCAATATGTTAATACATTGGCGACAGAAAATGCAACGCCACACATGTCCGTCGTATTACGACGATGGAATCAATAACGGAAATTATTTCTGTTGCGATGTTTGGCGCAAAGATAGATTTGACTTTTGAGTTTGGCGATTGAACATGTGACTATCGTTCTTTTCTGTCGCGAGAATATTTAATTGTTAAAGTAAAATTTATAAATTTTTAATGGTCGAATTTTGCACTAGGCTTGGTATTACAATTTACAAGTGAAAAATTTTCAAAATTTAATGTAAAATTGAAATTGCATATGAGTTATTAAAAATTATTAATGTTATTAAATTATATATATATATATATATATATATATATATATATATATATATGAAATATGAAGTTTATTTATTTAAAAAGTTTTTGGTTGAATAATTATGTTGATTTGCTAAGATAAAGTTATGAACGTAACATAAATATTTGAAATTACAATAAAAATTGATATTTAAAAATGGGTAATTACTCAAAATAATAAAATATATTAGATCATTAAAACAATGTATTTTTTTTTTTTGAAAATAAAAACAATGTATTTAAAATTACAAAATTTTAAGAATTCATTAGTAAATTAAGTTTGTAGTTGAATTACAATTTGTGGAATCATCACAAAATAAAAATTTAAGACTCTTTTTGGCAAAATTTATAGAATTAATTATATAATTGAAATTTAATCTGATTTAGCAAAATAATTCTACTCGGACAATGAATTCATATGCTATATAACTAAATTGCATAACTCTTTTGTCACTACTCCCTCTATCCTCTTCTACCTGTCTTACTTTCCTTTTTTACTTTGTCCCGTAATAGCGTCTTTTCCCAAAATTGAATATAATTATTATTTTACATTTTTTCAATTTGTCTTTTTGACTTGTTCAAATTTCTTGACAATTAATGAGGTAAGTACAATTGTACTTTATACAAATGATACTTACTTTTGAAGGACAAAATTAGAAAATTAGAAACATTTGTTTTGTTGCATTAAAAACCATGCACAAAAATTAAATGTGACAAATAATTATGGATATGTGGAGTATTTCACAACATCAGTAAACTTATTACAGTAATTTCACTTTTAACAAAAATTAAGTTAAGTTTTAATGTCCAATCAATATTGCATGCATTAAGAAGATTTAAATTATTTTAATATGAAAAATTGTTAGGACATCATTTTTATTATCAATTATAACTCTGTACAACAATAATCATCTTTACTACTAGTTTAAAAAACTCATTTTGATTATATCAAAACTAATTATTTTTATTTTATATTAATTATTTAACATTTAAAAATTATTCTATACATTTACCTATTTTAATTTGTGTGTTGGATATCAATTTTAACGCACAATATATACATGATAACAATATATATAATCGTGCTAAGGGAACCGTAGTCTTAGGGTTTTTAAAATTATTTTAAATATAAATACATATAATATGTCGGGTTTTGTAACCCGCCGTCTTATTATTATTATTTAACAAAACTTAAAATAATAAACCTACGATATCGGTTCCATAAAGAACCCACGTCTTAGGTTTGATTAAAAAAAAACGCCGTTGTATGGTTAAGATAAAATATAATATATTTTTAAAATATTTATATACATATGTGTTTTTTTTAAAAGAAAAAAACTTATTATTATATACATATGTATTTTTTTAAAAAAAAATTATCATAAGGTATACATATAAGTTTTAATTTTTTTCAAAATATTTGTTTATATATTTTTATGTTTTTTTTTTTTTAAATTTTAATAAGGTATATAACGTTGGTTTTTGAAAAGGTTATATATATATATATATATATATATATATATATATATATATATATATATATATATATATATATATATCTTATTTTATTGTTTTATTATATGGTATATAACATAGGTTAAAAAAAAATATTATATATTTTATAACACCATTTTATTATTAGAATTGATTGATTTTATAACTTCAATTCTATTTATATATAAAAAAAAATTCCCTCCAAAATTCCCCCCAAATTCCCTCCTATGTTATATACCATATAATAAAACAATAAAATAAGGAAGTGACAATATTATGTGTCACAAATGTAACTGGTATCTAGCTTTTAACAAAAGATGGAAGTGCCAGACATGTATGAAGCAAATTTGCTCAAATTGTATTAAAAAGCATTTTGAGATTGAAATTCCAAATTTAGAACAAAATAACTCAATAAAAAATCCTGAAAATAAAATTGATCAATTAGAAACTAGAGTGACTAATTTAGAAAAAAGACTAGATATTGTGGAAGAAAAACTACATAAACTAATAATTTTGGTGGAAAAAGGGAAACAAATATCAGAAGAGAGAAATTATATATATATATATATATATATATATATATATATATATATATATATATATATATATATATATATATATATATATATATATATATTCCTCATGAATGCTTGAAATTGATTATGATTGCTATTGCAGATTGAACAATATAGTTTGTATGTTCTGCATGTCCTTGCTTTATTGATATTGATTTACAAGGAAAAGTATAATTCTAATTCTCCATTTTTGGCATCATATCTTATAAAGCCTAGATAATATATTTAAAATTTTCTTCTTAATTGCATGTAGGCTACAAAACTATGATTTCAGCTTCATTTACATGACATCTAATGATCAGACTGCATTCCCAAAGCTACCTACCAATGTAAGAGAGATGTTGTTAAGGTGATTGGCTGCAGTACAAAAATGCCAGTCAACATCGTCCAACACTAGCTAAACAAGGTTAGAGAAATTTGAAATATGCATTAGATAGTGTGTATTTTGAAATTTGAATTATTAGTGAAAATTAAAAAAATTGCCTTAGAAAATTAGAAAATGTTGAGATTCTCAAACCGAACTAATGTAGTTGACAGTAAATGGCTTAGAGCTCCATAAGTGTGTTTATTCATATGTAAGGCTTGTGTTTTCTCATGGAATTCAATCTTTAGCCTAGAAACATTTAAAATGTCCAGTAGCCTCATTTTTGTTATACTTAGCATAGTTGGATATCTAGTACATTTGACATGTCACATTTTTTTTTCCCTAGGGATTTGGAGGCTTTAAAATGTAATTGGTTCTACTTGTTAGAGAATATCAGTTACATCCAACAATTTTACTGCAATGTGTACTGTGAAATGAGTGTATATGCTTAAAATTCATTACTCATGTGCTTTCTAGTGTTAAATATTGTAGGATTTATCTCCTACCCTCTCATATCATATTAGACAGTAGTTGTTATAGCTTGTTCAAGGAAATAACTAATAAAAAAAAGGATTAGGTTCAAGTAAATCTGTAAATTTATAATCTTCACATATAGAATAGTCAACCTGTTTTCTTGACTTTTTCCCAAGAGTCTTAATTGTTGTTGTTGTTGTTTTTTTATTTTTTATTTTTTTTATTTTTGAAATCAGGACTATGTTGCGGTTGGCGGACATGATAAGAAAAGAAGAGTTTATAGGCTCATATGGTAGCATCATTTGTGGTCCAATTGATGCTAACACAATAGATTTTCTATATATGCTTCTTATACAGCAAAGATTGTATCTCTTGAATGTGAGAGAGCTAGCTAGTACTTCATCATCACCCTCATCACAAGCGGATTAGACTTGATATTCAATTTTATGGATTATTATATTGTTGTTTAGAGATGAATTTCGTATTAAGTACAACATTAAATTTGTGAATTATAAAAAGCACTATTACTTTTATATTACAAATTATATTGTATTTTAGTTTAATAGTGCTTTTGTTTATAAATTAATTGCATATTAACATTTTAAATACTAACCTTGGAATTTTAACATAATAATAATGATTACTAAAATATTAAAAAATTAATAATTTAGAAGAATAGCAACGAAATGTGATTTTAGCAATGGAATATTCATTATCATTATGACGAAGAAATTGGTGACGAGAAGATTAATGTCGCCCAAAATGCAATGGAATTGCGATAGTAATTAGTTTTATTACTTTCTTACGACGAAATGTTGTGACGGAAAACAAATTTTGCGACAAAATATCTAGCGATGGAATTGCGACGGCAGTTTGTTATGTCGTTTTGTTACGACGGAATTTGGTGATGGAATACAAAATTTACAACGGAAAGGTTAGCGACGAAATCGCGACGGCAATTATTTTGGTCGTTATATTTCACGACGGTAATGTGCGACGGAATATGAGTTTCGCGACATAATATTTTATCACGCGATGGCGACGGAAGGAATGATTTCCGTTGCCAAAATCGCAACAGACTCACGACAGAATGATTTCCGTGGCCAACTTCACGATAGAAAATTCTGTTGCGGTTTTCCGTCGCCACCGCTATTTCCGTCACGAAATAGAATACTACAAGCCTGGAGACTACGGAATGAATTCCGTCGCAAAAATGCAAAATTCCGTTGCAAAACGTGATTCGCAATGGAATTTCTCATTTTCACGACGGAAAAATTCCGTCGCAAATCGGAATTTTTCTTGTAGTGTACAACGGAACACTCATTCGGAGAGCAACTACAATGGAACACTCATCTGACGCACCTACAACGGAACGCTCATCCGGAGCGCAACTACAATGGAACACTCATCTGGAGCACAACTACAACAGAACACTCATCAGGAATGCAGGTACAACGAAACACTCATCTGGAGTGCAGCTACAACGGAACACTCATTTAGAGCGCGACTACAATAGCACACTCATCTAGAGCCTTAACAAATGAAGTCGAACACGGTAATGTGTCATCATTGTATCCATTAAGACTTTGACCGCGGAGAAAGGGAACAAGTTGAGTCTTCCAGTACAGTTTGTTTGTAGGGCATTTATCCAGGCTCTGGTTGTATAGACAATATCGTGCGAGAAGAGGAGGTGGTGTCACCTCAAGTAGTAATGTTAGGTAGAGTCTGTAGAGAAGTTCAGCTACCTGCATGGGAGCTCAACTGGTCGCATGGGTGAAATTTGTTACAAGAGACCAAGGAATGAGTCTCACCAACGATGATACTGTGGGAGCAATAACCTTTGTCCACCTTTTTGTCACAAGGTAGAGAAGTTTAGTCGATTAATATAGCTTTGATTTATGAAAAAAATTTACAACCATTTTTTATTTTTTACTCAATATATAGCTGATAAATAATCTTTGTTTGTTTATATATATATATATTGTACTCCGTAATAGTTTATTCTTAATTCATAACTTATAAGACTTTAGTTATTGTGAATAATTATATATATGCAACTATAGTATTTGGTTATTATATTTTTTATTGGGAATTGGAACTCGAAGTGTTAAGTTATTGTCTCTCTTTTTTTTTTTTTTTTTTGAGAGGAAGTTATTATCTTATTGATTAAACACAAGTTGACTAAAATAAACAAGAAAATATGAAGGTATATATATACCGCCGTTAAAGCTAAAACTTATTCGTTTGTATTAATGCCAAGGGAAAGTTTGCAATTTATACTAGTACAAAACGGCGATTCGTTTATGTTGTTTGGAGTTATAGGCGTCTCTTTTACAACAGGTGTTTATGAACAAGACGCGGATAGTTATGACTTTAGGGTCCGTTGTTCACCGTCGCATATTCTCGACTACAGGCGTCTGTTCTTTATGAACAACTGACGCCTTTATCTACCAGATTTTGCAAATTTTCGCGGACGTCTATTGCTATTTTTTTATTTTTTTTTGCTCAACCCTGCTACAGTAAAATCAATCCTCCATATATAATATACATTATCAACACAATATTCATTAACAGGATTATATTTCACAATTCACAATATAACCCAAACTACATCATAATTCAAAATATTAATCCACACTACAATCCAAACTAAACCACAATAATCCATAATATACAATCCAAACTAATACATATAATAAACAATATAATCCAACCATTAACACCTAAGTACTCCATCACGATGCACACACTTATACACATTCATTATAAAAATACTTGGCCCACATTTCACGAATCTCATCAATTTCTTCCATGGAATATGTCAAAGTGTCTTGAAAAACCTACAAATGAATTATTAATTATATTAGTAATTAATTATAATTAATTCAATTATTACCAAATACTTATTTAATATCACTTTATATGTACCTCATCCAAAGAAGTGAATGTGGAATATTTTGTGCATAGTTCATGCATGTACTTCATTACATAATATCCACACTCAGAATCACCTGGTTGTTGAGGACACTAGAAAAACAAATTAAAATCATATTCTTCTTCATCCACAACATCTCCAACCCCAACAATACTTCGTTTTCCTTGTAATACAACTGACCACTTACTATTAACAGAACTCGAAACATAAAAGACTTGTTTTGCTTGAGATGCAAGTATAAATGACTCATCATGATAACCCAGTCGACCAAAATCTACCAAAGTAAAACCCAATTCATCAATTCGAACACCTCGTCTGTTTTCAACCCAACTACACTTGAATAGGGGAATCCTAAAAGCGTTATAATCAAGTTCCCAAATGTCTTCAATCACACCATAATATGACATAGAATCATCTACTGGCTTGGCATCTCTAGCACTAGAGTAATCTCTAGATAGTGTTACTAATGTAACTCCACTGTTTTGTACAACACTCTTATCATCTAGACGTTTTGTGTAAAAGGTATAACTTCCCTTGAACCTGTAATTGTCTTCTGATGCCAATTCAATCAAATAGATGAATCTTTTGAAAAAACTGTTCAAGGACCAAGCGATACCCCCTCTCAATATCAATACCACGGATCTTCAGACCTATTCCCATTCTTATTCCAGTAACTAATGTGATTCTTAGATCTTGTTCGTGAGATTAAGAAAAATTCTTCTAATTTCTATGTATACTACATATATTCATTATAAGTCTGAATTTCTTTTTTTTTTCCATTTTCTTTTAGTGTCTTCTTTATTATATCCCCCTATCCTTCATATGAATCTAAAACTCCACCAGAGTCCATCGTTCCACGGATTGAAGCAAAAGATGCTTCAATCAAATCTTTTTTGATTTTTTTTTCTGTTAGAAAAAGAGGAAATCCCCCCTTTTTCCTTTTATTCAACAAATATTCAAAAAAATCAAAAAAAAAAAAATAAGAGACTGGAAATGAAAGTAGCATTCTCGCATCGATTCTCCGTCACGCTGTCGGAACAAAATTATCGGATGCAGTGATATAGAAATGTTTGGTACATGAAGCCACATCTGATAGATATACATCGAAATCTACTTACATAGAAATTCATCTTGATCCCTAATCAAAGAAAGATAGGAAATGGCTCTTTTGGTGTGACTTGGTGTCATATCCTTCGAAACAATTGACAAGCATAGTAGGGCCATATGCTAACCACTGAATGGTTTCAAATCAAAGAAAAAAATGTAGTCAATACTTAGTTTTAAAGTATATTAAATTATTAAATTAATAGTAAATACTTAATAAGGTAAAAGTCAATACGTAAAAGTATTGTATACCTTAATCGTTTCACTGATGTTATTTGGCACTTCAGGTAACTGTCGCATCACTCCATCTCTGAACCATCTCATAAATGTGCAATTGTGCTCATTGGACACCCACCTTTCACCCTTTGAAGGATTTTCATGTCTTAATATGGACAGTTGCTCGTCCAAGTATGGATGAACCTCAGAAATATGTTGCAATATAATCTAGTGAGCTTTATCACGCATATCAGCACTTGATAAAAATGGTTTATGCCGAATAATGCCTTCTCCTGTAAGTCTAACCTCATGACGAGATTTAGGAACACCAATAAATTCAACATTTGCCAAATAACCAGTACAGAACTCAATCACCTCCTCAGCAACATAACCTTCAATAATACTACCTTCTGGTCGGAACCGATTCTCACGTAACCTTTAAGTATCCCCATATAGCTCTCAAACGGATGCATATACCTTAAGAACACTGGACCACACAACTTAATTTATCTCACTAAGTGAACAATTAAGTGCACCATAATGTCAAAAAATGATGGGGGAAAATACAGGGATGGAGCCAGGAATTCCCGCTGGGGGGGGGGGGGGGGGAGGGGGGCGAAGAAGCAATGACGGATCCAGAATTTTTTTTTCCAGTGAAGGCGAAACGTTAAAACAAAAGAGATAATTTGAAAAAAAAAATATATAAGAAATATAAGTATAAATATTGTTGGATATGAGCAAAAAATAAAACCCATCGAAACTTTATAAATATATTCATAACAAAATATGAAACATAATTAATTTGATAAAATAATTTGAGTAAAAAACACATTATATGTAAATTACACATCTCATTATTAATATAAAAGAATGTTATATATGTGTGTGGGTGTGTATTAAATATTAAAAAAAAAACTATTAAAAAAGTGATTGTGTTGAAGCCAAAAAAACCATGAAAATGTGTTAATGCTAAGATTTGAACCCATAACCTTCATTATATATAACCAAACACATGCTTTGCCAACTAATCTAACCCACTTCTTATTAACATTCATTTGTTTTTATACTAATAATAAAACTTGTACTATAAATACATATATACATACAAAGGTTATATATGGGGCGCGGGTGGGGGTGGGGTGAGGGGGGCAGCTGCCCCCCGTTTGGCTCCGTCCTTAGGGAAATACATTTCAAATTGAGATAGAGTCACTACCACATCTGCTTGCAAATCATCAAACACCTCTGGATCGACAACTTTACTACAAATAACATTAAAAAAAGAAACAAAACTTTGTAATGGCATCTCTAACATGTTTTGGTAAAACATCCCGAATAGCAACAGGTAACATGTGTTGCATTAAAACATGGCAATCATGAGACTTCATACCAATCAACTTCAACTCCTTCATTGAAACAAGTTTCTTAATATTGGATGAGTAACCTGAAGGAACCTTCACATCATTCAAACATTCACAAAAACTTGTTTTCTCTTTTTTAGACATGGTATAACAAGCTGGAGGTAAGTATGTCCGCTTTCCTGATTCTTGCGGTGCTAACTTATCTCGTATTCCCATTTCTACCATATCTTTTCTAGCTTTAATGCCATATTTAGTTTTACCTTGGATATTCAAAAACGTCCCAACAATACTGTCACACACATTTTTTTTCCACATGCGTTACATCAAGACAATGATGTACAGATAAATGCTCCCAATATGGTAGGTCCAAATAAAATGACCTTTTTTTCCAAAGACACTTTTCAACAGGTTTAGAGGTTTTGCCCAAATCAACTTTAACATTTTTGACTCGTTCATAAACTGCATGCCCTAATAATGGAAAGCGGGCCACACAAGTCATAGCTTTACCATTGAAACACTTTTTCCTCTTTCGATAAGGATGACCAATAGGGAGGAAGACCCGATGACTCATGAATACATTCTTTCTACTATTCCTCAACCAAAGATCACTTGTTTCATATTCACAAATAGGGCATGCCTTCTCTCATTTTGTAGTATACCCCGACAAGTTACCATATGCTGAAAATTCATTTATTGTACAAAATAACATGGTTCGCAAAGTGAAGTTGGTTTGACTATATGCATCAAACACCATCACGCCTTCATCCCACAACATTTTCAAAATCTTCCACAAGTGGTGCTAAGTACACGTCTATGTCATTCCCTAGTTGTTTAGGCCCTGAAATAAGCAATGACAACATGATGTACTTGCACTTCATACACAACCATGGAGGAAGATTGTAAGCTACCAAAAGAACCGGCCAAGTGTTATGTCGACTACTCATGTTGCCATGGGGGTTCATTCCATCGATGCATAACCCAAGCCTAAGATTCCTGTTTTCATTGCCAAATTCAGGAAACATTCTATTAATGTTCCTCCACTGAGGAGAATCGGCTAGGTGTCTTAATTTTCCAATTTCCTTCCTCACTTTAGCATGCCACTACAAATTCTTTGCATCATTTTTATTTGCAAATAAGCATTCGAATCTTGGTATCACAGGTAAATACCATAACACCTTCGCTGGAGGGCTTTTCTTATCCTCACACCAATAAGCAACATTTTTTCTCTTATAACGTGATGCTCCACACTTTGGACATACATGCAAGTTACTGTATTCCTTCCAATACAATACACAATCATTTGGACATGCATGTATCTTCATGACCTCCATGCCTAGTTGGCACAACATTTTCTTAGCCTCATAAGTTGAAATAGGAAGCTCATTATCATTAGGAAACATGTCTTTTAAAAGGTCTAATAATTGAGTAAAGCTCTTATCACTCCACCGATTCATTGCTTTTAAGTTATATAAATTGAGTACAACAGATGACTTTGTAAATTTACTACACCCAGGGTACAAAGATTTTTCTAAATCAGTAGAAAAACGTTCAAATATAAGAGGCATTTCACTATCACCTCCTTTAATATCACGCATGAGTTCATCTATTCGATCATTCTCTTCATTTTCCTCATTGTCTACATTCTTTTCATCGTTATAATCATCATTCTCTTCATCATTGTCTATTCTATTACTAGGAAGTACACTTTCACCATGCCATATCCACTTGTTATAATCTTCCTTAAAGCCACAACATATTAAATGATTCCTCACTTGCTCAGAAATACAAAATTTTCTAAGATTCTTACAATCATAACATGGGAACACAAGAAATTCTTCACCATTTTTGCTTTTATTTTCTTCAACATATTTTATAAGATTTTCAAACCCTAGCATGTATTCATGTGTATTGTGTTTCCCATACATCCAACTACGATCCATATCTCTCGTCTGCAAGATTATGAAACTTTAACCGAACCCGTATGGGCATCTCAACTGGTCATAGAGGTGAAACTTTTGAAGAATGAAACTTTAACCGAAATACATATCATATAAGATATAGACAAATGAAGATGGATAAGGCATTTAGTCTATATAATATAATTGAGAATCTATAATTAAGCATTTGGTCCATCTAAAACACTGCTCCAGTTTATCCAGTTTGGGATTACATATTTGAAACTTTATTTTATTCCTTTGCATTAGTTTTATTCCAGTTTAAAATATATAATGCTTTAATCTATAATTTACATTTCTCTTTGGTTTTTAATCAATTTACATTTACCTAAAAAAAATAATAATGAAACAGACTACATAATAAGGCACACATAATAATAATAATAATAATAATAATAATAATAATAATAATAATAATAATAATAATAATAACAATAATAATAATAATCACTCAAAAAAAAAACAATAATAATAATAATAAAGGGAAAATGATGTTTTTAGCTCCTGAATTGTTTTACTTTTGGAAATTTAGCCCTTGTCAATTAATTTGAGCAAGCATAACCCTTTAATTGTTCATAATGTAGCACATTTGGTCCCTCATGTTATATAATTAGAATTGTTTTTAATAATTTATATAATTATTCAAAATTAACAATATTTTGTATTATAAATAAATACATTAATTAAAAAAATTTAAAGAATTAAAAAAAATTAAAATTTCCGCAAATTTCCTCCACTTCAACATTCGATAACATAATTGCTTTACGCAACAATTTAGTCAACTAAAATCAACATTTCACTTTTACTAATTAATTAAATTCATTTACACATACATACATACATACATACATACATACATACATACATACATACATATATATATATATATATATATATATATATATATATATATATATATATATATATATATATATATATATATAGAAGAGCGCTCATATGCGGCGGGGTCTTACGGTGCGGCGGTGCGGTCAAATTCCAGAATACACCAACAGTGTTAACAATATGCACCAACAGTGTAATAAAAACACACCCCAATGAAATGTAATAAAACATCACAAAATACACCACAGACTCAAAAAAACACACCATATAACTCACCACCCCCAATGGTGTATTTCGGAACAGTGTATGGTGGGTTTTTACTCACACCTAATGGTGTGTGTTTGGTGATGCAGGGCTCTGTTTACTCTGTTTTGTGTGGTGTATTTCCTAACGTTGATGGTGCATATTTGATGAACTATTGGTGTTGCCGCACCGTAAGAAATAACCGCACCGTAAGACACTGCCGCACCTGAACCCGCCTCTATATATATATATATATATATATATATATATATATATATATATATATATATATATATATATATATTAAGAATTCGTACATAGAAAAACTAAGATTGTATACATATATTTATTTATTTTTTCTATGAACAGTACTTGTATATGTATATATATTTTGTTTTATTTTACTATTTTTTATATATTTTGTCCATGAAGAAGACAACCACCGGCTGTCCGGCGAGGATAG